TTATGAAATAATATGCTTTATATTGTTTTTAAACATTTTGTCAATAATAATAAAATATAGGAAGAACGGTAGTTGTTAGGGCTGAATCGATCACTTTTTTTAGGGACCCGTTGAACGTTCACCTTCAATATATATATTTTTTTATTTGTATTTTAAAATATTAAAAGAATTTGCAATACACCCTGGGGATTATTTATTATCAGTACAAGTTGATCATTCACTTTTACTATTAAATGCCATTATTTATACATAGGTAAAAATAAGATTGTATCATGAAAGTAAAATATTCACACAAACTTATAAAAAAGAGTCTAAAAGACAATTGTATACAAAACTGATGCTTCATAGCGGAGTTTGATTTTACACTGAATATAAACCCTTTTAACCAAATATTTCTAGTTATTTTATTATTTATACCTATTCCATTCAATTCAAAATATATTATTTAAAATATTTAAATTAATTTATTTTATTACAAAATTGTTTTAAAAAAAAATTGTTTCTTTGTTGTTATGGGTAAAATTTCATACGGTAGTCAACACTGGCCCACCATCGTAAAGTTATGTCTTTGTCTTTGTCTAATCCGAGCGATGGTATTGTTCTTGTCTCGCGTGTAAATGAGACATAAATATGTTTACTTTCAAATGTTTCGTGGTATCAAAGCTACGTCGTCAAAGTTCAAAAGTGGTTACACTTTTTTCGACGTGTGATAATGAGGTTTGCTTCTCTAGTGTTGTTTTAACTCAATGCTCATTACCTGGATAGTTGCGCTCCACTACTGTGCGCTTTTCGAGACAGTTTTGGCCCCGCACAACCAATCTGTGGAACGGGTTATCGTCTGCGGTATTTCCGGACCGATACGACCTTAAAACCTTCAAGAAAAGAGCATACTCCTTCCTAAAAGGCCGGCAATGCGTTTGTGACTCATGGGCGGCGATAGTCACTATCCATCAGGTGAACCGTCTGCCCCCTCTAACATAAAAAAAAATGGAAACTGAAACATTACCTACCAAGATTTTTATTACTAAGTTATGGGAGTTTTTGGTTTAAATAATTAAGAAAAAGAGTATCAAGTTACCACAAATTATTACATATTATATAGAAGTAGTACATAGATTTTTTTACACGCTTAAGAAGTTATATTTAAAGTTTATCTTCAAACTTTCAGGTTATAAATTTAATTTGGATCTAAACAAAGTTACTAGTATTTAATTTTAAAAGACTGACTAACATGAGGAAAACAACAATAAAATAATGTATCATTATTAAAAAGCTTGAAGCTTGTAAAATGCTCTTTATCAATGTTTTTTATATTGTTCACAATGTAAATTATTAAGTTCTTATATGTACATACCTATTAAGACATGATTAAAACAGTGACCAGTTTAGTATGTGTCTACCCTATTTACCATCGAGCATGTTGGCCGTCGCAGTGTGCACACGAGCTATTTGAGACATAAGTCGGTTGTAGACCTTTTTTGTAATAACGAGAACGTTTAATGTATAATAATAATCAGCATTCATTGTGTAACTTCCTCTTGTTATAAGATGCTTCATTTTAATAATTAAAAAAAGTTAGCGGTTTTATTATGAAAATGTCATTACCTCACAATAGACCATAAGCAACTGTTTTTTGGCTATTATATTATCTTGAGTGCATAGAATGTCTTGAATGTGATTTTAAAACACTCTGATTTTAAACCAGAGTGTTTTAAAAACGCTAGAACGGGATATAAAAAATACAAAAATTTTAAAGAAGGAATAAAATTCCTTTGGTCAAACAACATAGTTTTATTTATTAAAGTAGAATTCAATACCTATCGGATCTGAGACCACTATTTTATACATATCGTTCTAATATACTCACTGATCTTTTCACTCTGCATTTAATATTGTTTCTTCTGCATCAATTAGGCCATTTCTATCTGCATCCGCAATTATCAACGTCGATGTATTTCATCAATCATCATTATCAACAGCCTTTAATAATAATCCACTGCTGGACATAAGCCTCTCCTTAGAAAGAAGGTTTTGGCCTACTATACCACGCTGGCCAGACGGGTTGGTACAGGGTTTGTGTCAAGTTTTCCTTCTCTTTGCAGTGCTGTTGTCCTGCGTAGTTTGTTCCCTTAGTCGGCTCCTACGACACCCACGGGATGAATAGGGGTGGCGACATTCCGTATTCTTAATCCGTCACCACACGGATACTGATGTATTTTTTATTTATTTATTTAGACCACCAACAGTGAGTACACTATTACAATGTATTTACAAACGTATAGATTTTATAACTAAACATCTAGCCCCTTACAGGTAGGCACAACATGTTATGTCGGGGCACCAGGGACTTCCTTTCTAGGGTATACCTGGTTCCCCTGCTATTAGTACCCGAGACGGCGTGCGGTTTTAGTCGGTTCGAGTCCGACATGCCACCGACAGGTGGTATCCGAGGGGATTTCCGCACGGAAAAAAAAGAAAAAAAAAAGAAAGGCACAACATGTTCAGAGGTGCAGAGTGCAGAGCCACATACAAATGTCAATGTCTTTGTAATAATTTGGTAAACGGTACATTTTAAATTTGTAAGATATATTGATATGGTTGATATATTTCATGATATGGCAATGTTATTGATATCACCATTGATGAACTATATTACTATATCGACAGTCTATTGACGCTGTGAATTATTTTAGCAGAATAGGTACCGATGTTTTGACCGATGTCAGTGGCATCTCAATAGCGTGTGAATGGAATGACAGTGGCTTGGCGTTAACATAAAATAGCAGAATTGAGGCCCAGGTCGCAACAAGAAAGAAAGCAAACAAAACAAATGAATATAGCCAAAATCATACTATCGATTGTAAAATATGCAATTTCCTAGCGAACAGTTGTACTTAGTAGAGACATAGACTGTGTATTTATAGTTTAGTGAAACTAAAAATCACGCTTTAGATGTCTAATATCCACTTCGTTGTGACTAGTCATACCATCGTTACTATGCCCAATTAGTTCATATGAAGATAATCATATGGAACACATCAATCGATTTGGATAGTGGAACTGGAGTTGATACTGAATTGAGAAAAAGAGAGAGACTTCGTACTAAATTTTACAACTCTTATACAAACTATATGCCATATAAAGTTTCAATTTTGATATGAAAACCTGAACTAGGTTAAAAGTTAGGTCACATAGTTATTAATGAGACTAATGAAAAAAGCTAAACTCTTAGACATCAACATACGATCGACTTTCCATGTTTATCTTGGTCATGTCAATAACAAAAAACTTTCACTGCCCATTCCATAATTATGAGCCCAAAACCGGTAACACTACGACAACAACCGGTAAATAACTTCTGTTTGCTTACTGCACTAAAATCGGAAACATAATTAGCTTACACTCCAACACGCTGTTTTCAAAACAACAACTTTACGGTGTGGTCTAATTTTAAATTATACCTGGTTTTGATTGAAGGCTACTTCGTGGCACAAATTAAATTTAGAATAACTTATCGCTTTTTATTGGTTTTATATTGAGTAACACCATTATTTGAAATTGGTGGATACTGAAATATTATTTAATAAAACCAACAATTTCAGATACTTGAGTCGAATTCAAAAATGTAAATAGGATTTTGTGGCAGATATTGACGAAATATCTAAGTTTTTAGAGACATCTCAGTTTAAAGAAATTAAACTTTTTTTGTTTGCAAGGCAATAGGCTTTTAAAGTTTCTCGTTCGTTAAACTTAATTTATTTTCGAATGACATAATTATGAATTTTATCCTTTAACGAAATTGCAAGCATAACACGCCGCATTGTTCGCTGTGCTATTTTACATCAATCAATCACAATTACTAGTTAATCACAAGTAAATATGACTTTCACTAAGTTGCCAAACAAAAACAATTTGCCTAGATTATATCACCATCATCATCTTAGCCGAAAGACGTCCACTGCTGGACATAAGCCTCTCCCAAAGATCGCCATAACAAGCGGTCCTGTGAACTAAAAATTATGAATTTTAAATGTGTAAGCAGGCTTTTTTTAATTAAAAAAATATTTATTAATATTTGTTTGGGTTACGGGTGCGCTATTAGACAAATATGTTTGTTTCTTACTTTGCATTCATTGCTTTGCAAGCTTTTTTCTTAATGTAGATTAAATCTTGATAGTTTTATCATTCAATGTATACTGGACGTGACTTCATCACAACATGTATCGGTGACATTCGTAGAAAGTTTCTGACTTGAAATTTCATATGGATGTAACACATAAAATATACACTTAACACATATGTGCCTACTAACAATGTTATATTCTATGCAACTGTAGAAAAGTAAGCAACAACTTTCCTTTAACTTTCCCGCTAGGAAAGTTAAAAGAAAAGTTCTTGGCGTAACTTTACTGTATCAGGCATGGTTAATATTCTGTTATTTCTTAAGGTATAATTAGCAGTTTTTTATTTACTCACATTAACTGGCCTGTCGATCTAGTGGTTAGTGACCCTAACTGCTAACCCAGAGGACGTGGGTTCGATTTCCACCCGGGACAAATAATTGTGTGATGAGCACAGTCATTTGTTCTGAGTCTGGGTGTAATTTATCTATAATGTGTACGTATTTAGAAATATATAAGTATGTTTATCAGCGGTCTGGTTATCATAGTCCAGGCTCTACCTAGTTTGGGCTCAGACGGCCGTATGTGAGATGTGTGAATATATTATTATTAATATAATATTATTAGTGACTAAATTTAAATTGGCTGATTATATTAAAAACAAGCTATATGATTTGTGTTTTAATATTAAAATCAAAATAGGTATTCAATAATAAATCACGCCCATATTTAATCCATTACCTACTCATTTGAAAAAGCATCCATTTCTTGATTACATTAATCCAGCTCCAAAAAATATCCGTGTTCCATAGTACTGCCGCAATAAAGACTTACTTTTTAGATACCGTTATTAAAAGTATAATGTTATGTTTATTTATGTTACAATTCGTCGAACAATGTTCCTGATTCCAGTTTCTTTACCGCTATAGCCTCCTCCCTTGCAATTTTCGCTTTCAAAAGAGCCAATTCTCTGTCACGGATAACTTTTAGTCTTGCTTGTTCCTCACGGTATGCTCGTTCTTGTACTCCGTAAATTCCTTTTTTGGACAGACCATAAAAAAAACCAGCAATTAGAAATACGTAACGTAATCCTCTTATTAAAGGTGAGACCGGATATGGTTTTCCCCATGCTCTCACCATTTTACACAATGAAATTAGAAAGATAAAACTCCAACATGCAATCAAGAAATACTTGACATCTTTCAAAATATCCAAAAGTATAAACTATCCCAAAAAGGTTATACTTCACTTATACTTAATCTTAAAAGACAATATTATATCGGCACTGACATCCCTACTGCGTACTAGGTCAAGTGCGAATAGCAACGAATTATTATTTATTTTTTGTGGGAATAACATTTGTATCGGTAGGAAGGCCAGTGGCCGAATGGTCAGCTAAGAATATCGCTTGTCTCTAGAGATGGTACCACCAATTATAGCTGACTGGCGATACGCCAGCAATTGGTATCGTCGCGTAGTGAACAGGAAGAAACGTTTATCGATTCAAATCAATCAGTGTAGTCTATCTTTCTCAGCAACGTATTGAAGTAACGAATATTCTTTAAACAATTAGTATTTTAACTATTACAATTATACCTATTTAAATTTGGTATATTTTGCACTCTAAAATTCTATAACGAGTCATACTACTCGATGGGGGCATTTAGATGTGTAGATTTTTTTTCAAACATTCGGTTAAAACAGTAATTTCTTTTTGTTGTATGGGCTTTATAACAGCTTATTATGCAGTTTCCTAGTTTTTTAAGATATACTAAACAGTTAATTAATAAAGCGTGGCGATGTTAGTAATGATATCGCCAGCTGTTGTTTATTCGATCGGTTGGTATTACAGGTCCCAAAAATTGTTCCTACTCACTAATCGATACTAGAGGCACAGTAAATTGCTTTAAAATAATACTTAACTTTAGTTATGCTATGTAGACATTTTGTGTATAATGTTTTATTTGGTTTATTGTGAAGAGAATGGCAAATCGCAGTACATCACATCAGAAATATTAACCTTTCTTTGATGTGTGCACACTTCCGAATAAAAATTACAGCTGGCAGGGCAAATAATTAAATTTCACACAGCTGCTGCGCTTATGTTATATGCGCTGCGCTGTTATATGTACCTATTGTGTGCGTCTCTTATTTTCTTGAGATCATTCTCTAAAGATTTAAGAAGATTTTATTAAATATTCAACTATATGTTTTAAGAACTATGGGACCCACGCTCATCAGTAATCACACAACTCTCAGGCATGAAGATAATATCAGAGCTCTTTGGTCTAAAGTACTTTGCATGGAGAATGGTATTGTTGTTTTTGGTTAATTTAAGGTAGTAGAAATAAATAACGTGACGGCCTGTTTGAATCTTTACTTTTTTCTTGAAAAAATCTCTGCGATACAAAAAGCCCCGATAATCCAATGCATCCCATACCATACCGGTCTACTCATAGTGTACAACCTTGGCGTCACTAAACATACCATCTACAGACTGGAAGTAGCCGAAAGGGCAGTAGAGAGAAAATTGGTTGGAGTGAAATTGATTTGCTGCAAAACACAAATGGTTTTAAACGCAAAGTAAAAGCTTGATAAGTATTAAAACGTCTGCTCAAAAGACGTCGTGAGGGAAAAAAGACTAAGTATAAACACGGAAAAGATGACGTAAGGAAAGTAGCCCATACCAAAATGGCGTAAAAAGGCTATAAGAAAATTGTGTAAGTTACACGAGTCTCACTCGTAATGTACTTACTTAAAGTCCAGATGCTATATACCCAGGGTATATCTTTTTATTCTATTTAAGTAAAGTTTATTCCTAAATAAAATTCTTGGAAATCAAAGTAGACCAAGGTAAATATAGGGTGAACTGAAGATTGAGCTCCGAGGAACCTCGTGTCTCTCGGATCTTAGTTTTAAAGTTGAGACAATCCAGTCGAACACCGGCACCAACTGTTAAAAAATATTATTGGACATTATTTGACTGCAGTGGTAGCGTATGCGATTGCTGTGCTGAGGCCTCGGGTTCGATTCCAGGGTTGGACCAAATGTTTGTATGATCTGCAAATATTTGTTTCGTAGTTTTGGTGTTTGTTATGTTTGTATTTCCAAAAAAAAAGTATTCTATCCGTCAATCTAGTTTTCATAGTACAAGCTCTGCTTAGTTTGGACTAGATGGCGTTGTGTGTCAGATGTCCGAAATTTTATTATTATTTCGGACATCTGACACACACACTGATTTTATTTATTCGCATTGAGTCGAGGTCTGATATCTCACGTTTAGAAATGTAAAGGTGAGCGTACCATGGCCAAGTTTTAGTTGACGTGAAGTTATTTAAATCCATTACAAAAACACTCACAGTTCATAATCATGGCGAAAATATCATAACTCTAACGTATTATTTTATAATGTTCAACTTTTGTGGTCACTGAAGTTGAGTTTATATTAAAATCACGCTGTAAAACGATTTAACTGTTTTGCAATTATACTTCGTCCTTCAGTGTGTATGAGCCTATTAAACACGGGGGAATGCAATGGAATGAAATAAGCTACTTTTATATTAGACCTGTGTTTCTAGTGTGTGGATTTAAGTCGTAGAGTAATATAGTCTCCTGTGCTAGAGACTTAAAACAAGTTTTAAGTTTTGAGGCCCGAACCTTAAATCGGCGTCAACCTTATTTACGCAAATCTTGGCATAAAATAATGTGAATAGAAACTTAATGCGCGTTTCAATAATGTACATTAAAATTAAACTTCACTATACTCCTTAAACTTGAGAATGGTTGATAAAGAGGCTTTTTGTACTTATAAGTACAAAAAGCCTCTTTATCAACCAGTCTCCTTTGTTCAAATCATTATCAATGTATGTATATATACATATATTGATAATGATTTGAACAAAGGAGACTAAAATCATGGGACATATGCTAAAGACGAGCTATTGATATAGGTGGGTTAGTTATAGGAGTTCTCTCGCTCGATAGCCTGATTGCGGCTATCGTGCGGAGCGAGAGTGCGTGGAACTCTGCCGTCACCTTCAACGAGCAAGTTATGCTCGCGAAGGAGAAGGCGGAGCGGGACCGGGAGAGGTTTAGAACTCTCCCGGCCGGCCAGGCCCGGGAACAGGCTAGGTACCGCAGGCGACTCAGGCGCCGGAGGTCGCAGAACGACCGCCGTCCTCCATAAGCGCAGGCCTGGGGGTGACAGGTGAGGCCATCTGTCACCCTAGCAGAAGCAGGCCGGGGTGGCGGCGAGCGCGTTGCGAAGCGAGCAGAGGGAACATGGGAACGTCTGTAGATGGCCCGAGGTATGTCGGGGCACCAGGGACTTCCTTTCTAGGGTATACCTGGTTCCCCGGCTATTAGTACCCGAGACGGCTTGCGGTTTTAGTCGGTTCGAGTCCGACATGCCACCGATAGGTGGTATCCGAGGGGATTTCCGCACGGAAAAAAAAAGATGGGTTAGTTACATAATTAGTAACAAGAAAAAAATAATATGTGCTTAAAATTCACAACGATTAGGATGAAGTCTAACAACTACATTTTGAATCTTATTGGATAGTTTAAACTTATGCTTGTATATTGACCTAGATAAGTAGGTAGGTAGGGATTTTTTTAGAGACATCGATTATTTGCCCAAAAACGGTTCCTGCGTTTGACATGTGTGTGTGTAATAGGTGTAATTTTACATAAAATATATTCGATGTAGAAAAACTATTATATTAAATATTACCACATAATTTAGAAATCATGACTATCATCACGGATTGTTTTTAAACAATAGAACTATTCAGAACGCCCATTTGTCGCAGCATTCACTGCGGGTAAACTTACACTGCAATTAGCACTATATTCACATGTGTGAAATGCCACAAATAAGAGAAACTACTGTTATCTCATACGATTACGTTTTCTTTGTGAAACCGCTAATACTTATATGATTCCACCAGATTCAAGGAGCATACTTTGTTTTTTGAAAACCCTGTCGGATCTCTTGCTCCTCAGGGACTCAGGAGCCAGGCGCGAGAAGGACCCGGACCATGTTAGTCGTAATTATTCGCCCGATCGCAGTTATACGACCAGGCCGCCATCCTTTCTTTTTCGCTTGGGATCACTTCTTCGGGACGGACAGGAGAGTTCTGACTCTCTCATCTTCCGTCTCTTTTTAAACCGACATTGAGGATGTGCTCAGTGTCAGCTCAACAGATTAGTGTCGTCAGTGTTAAGGACCGGTCAAACTATAAGTATTCAATACTTATGATTTAGCACTTTACTATGACCCCTGTTTGCATAAATTGACCCTGATAGACCTATTAAGAACCGATTTGGAGCATTACATAAGCATTATACGTGACCCGACAAGAAGACATGCAACGAACATTACAAACTAATGCAATAATAAATACCGTTATGTGAGCTATAATTACAGAGGTCACGAGTACAATTATTACTAGTGGGATAGGCTTGGTATGGCGACTACATGTGACGTAATCCTTCCATTATAGTTAGGATATATTAAGCGTACTTGTCACGATCCTGATCGGTCGCATCATAAGTATGTTGCTTGTATAAATAAACGTATATATGCTAAGTGAATGTAAGCTTTTGTACATATTAGAGAATATTACAGATATTTGTAAAAAAAAATCGTTAAAAATATCTTTGTGTGATGTGGGTAATTTGTCTAAGTATATCATATAGTCATTTAAAATTAGGGGCAGTCCTTCAAGATAACTAACAGTTGCAACGATATTATCAAATAAGTTAAAGTGATAAATATGTACCTAAAGATATTTTAGGTTTTTTTTTCTAACTTTAAAACTGTATCTTCTGCCACATAAAACGCTAATTATTTTTACACTTTTAGTAAGTTTTAATATTATTACTTGTATACTACTTGTTTTCCCAAAGCATACCTTGAAGAGGCACTAGGTATACTAGCATCGAATATTTTTTATGTGGTTTCTTACTTTAGGATCTTTTACGTTGAGTATTGAATAATTGTTTTACTTTATGAAACGTCATAATAGGCTTTTGAAAATTTACTTATATTACTCATATTACTACTATTAGTATTATCAAATAAGTTAAAATGATAAATATGTACCTACCTAAAGATATTTTAGGTTTTTTTTCTAACTTTAAAACTGTATCTTCTGCCACATAAAACACTAATTATTTTTACACGTTTAATATTTTTATTATGCATTAAAGATTTCTTTTTCATAATGCGCCTAATAACGTCAGACTTGATAAGGAACCGGTATTGCAACCATATAATCGGAATCAATTTTTTTTTATATTCCCCTTCCATAAATCTGCTCCCTTCTGAGATCATTCTATCTTCTTCATGCTCGCTATTTTACCACTGGACCTTATTTTTCTCTCTCTTTCTAACTTACAACATCTTGCTAAGGCTAAGGCCTCATTGTGGTAGTCTAATAGTGTAGTGTTAAACTGTCATCGTAAGAGGGCGCTTGTGACTTTGATTACGTTAATAGGTATTACTGCAAAAAGTTTTTATTTAGATAAAAATGTAACACATTCATATTAAATATTCAGTTACAATCTAATTTAACAAAAATATCAACAATAAACAACGCATATGTCTATAAAGTGTAAAATGTCATCGTTCAATTAAGTTGTGGGTGTGGTGAACGCCGAAAGTGTCTTGTCAAATGTTGCTGTTTTTTATCGTCAACATTTTTTAGTTTTATTTTGTTACTTACATAATATTTATCAATACTGTTCGAAGTGGTAACTGATAAGTGAAATTCAAGTACAAAAATAACCTCAGATAGTGTCGTACATCATTCAATAACAAGTGATGTTTTGGTGTTTATAGAAATCGTCATCGACAAAAACCACGACGATGACGACTCCTGCGAAGCTGTATGGACGGGAGCTGTCCACCTACGACGAGGTGGACGTCGACGAGCTGCTATCCAAACTGTCGCAGGAAGAACTTACGATGCTGGCCAAGGAGGTTGATCCAGATGTGAGTAATCTCATTTTCTTAGCTTACTAGTTTAAAAAGTAGCATTTTCTTTGTGTTCTGTCTTAGTTCCCAACAAATCCTAGTTAAAAAAACGTAGGGAGTGGCTTTGATATCTATGAATCCATTTTGAAAAGAGTGATAATAAAATTCTTAAAAAATCATTCCTTTATCTTATCACTTTAATTTGAAGAGTAAATCACAACAAAATTTTACGTGCTTAGAAATAATATATAACTTCAGAACTGCTGCAAAGCCTTTAAATTAAGTAAACATCTACCTACTTTTCCAATCTGTTAAAATCAATGAAATTGATTATGAAGGTCACTTGCAGCATTTTGTGGGATAAAATTCTCAACATTCAAACAAATTACACACCTCATTGTTAAACCATAAAGATCTTACCTTGGCTTTATCACAACAGCTTGCTTTGCCTTGAAAAAATAAGTGTTATAAACAAACACTGTTACTGTACACCCAATGTTAAGTGGGTAATTTTCTTTTTCATTGAGTTTATGAAGAATATTAAGACAGACATCTCTTCATATATCCATAGTTATTTAGGACCAAATTACATGTTTATTTTAGTATTATTCTAATATATTCTAATTCTAATGATTTCCTTCACTTGATCTATAGATATAAAAGAAGAAAAATATTTAGTATTATTTAGTTTTGAACTCCATTGTTAAATTTTATAGGTGATACAAATAACATTAAAAAAAAGGATAATGTAAAATTTAGTATAAACTAAAGAGATCTAGTTTAACTGAAAATGAAATAACTGTCTTACATTGGCAATTATTTAAATTTTAATTAGTGTACAAAAACAGTTGAGAAAAAGAGTCTTTTCAAACATTAACTATCAAAATCTAATAAGAATATCTCAACACATTATAAACTTATTTAAGAAAGTAATAATGAATTTATGTTATGTTCCACTGATAACTTAATTTCAAAATAAATAAATGAAATTTTAGTACAAAAAATAAAATAAAAAAAACAACTATGGAATTTGACAGGCAGAGTTAACATATGTATTATTATGTAACAAAATTATCGTACATATTTGTACTGTAAAATAATGCACCTTTAGTACAGTAGTTTTAATAGGGATATCCCTATTACTGTGAAGCTGTATGTAACAGTTATGAGTTTTTTGCATAATCATCAATTTGAAATGCTTACTTGCATTTATACAATGAAGAATTCCTAACATACCTTACCTTAGTAATGTAAATGATAATTAAGAAAAACTAAGTTTTAAAATTTTGCTTTAAAATTTTTACACCATTTTACATTTCTATGTTGTACTTGTTTAAAGACATTATTTATGAAAAGAGACCATTCTTTGAAAAGCTATTTCAATTGAATTAGATTCTTTAAACTAGTCTAGATATTTTAACTATGGTTTGCACAGAATTAAATTTCCTTTGTGTGAAAAGTGTCTGAATTAAAACTTAGTTATAATTTTTTCTTGTGCTGGAATAAAATGGTTTGTGTGTATTCTTCTGCACTAGCCAAAAAAAACAGTTGATTGTTTGAGTACAATAACTATTACTGAAGTTCTTAAGACATCATCTTACATTTTATAAGGTTGGCGAAGTGTTTTAAAAAGTGCTGTTATGCTTCAAAACAGAATTTCTTATATTTATTAGTCACACTTTAATTGATATGAATAGATTTAGAAAATAAAGTTTATTTATATGACCTTTCATAAATCTTTCACAAAAAGCATATAAACAATAGTGTTTATTGCTATAAACAACTACTTTCTCTAAATTATTTAGATGGATAAAAACAACAATAATTTTAATTAGTTTTTGTTGTAAAAAGTTTAGAGAGACAGAGTTATATTAACAACATTGTTAGTGATAAAATTCGAGAGTTCTTTTGAATTGGAACTAGATATTGGTGTCATGATGAGACATCACAGGAGTTGTTAGTGTGCATGTAAATAACTGATATCATTAACAACAAGCAATTAAAGTGTAGAATGACCTCATTCACTTGATAACACTTGAATACAATACCTTTGAATTTTATAATAGTAATAAGTTCATTATATTAATACCTTTCCACAGTCACTTAGCTCCAGCAAATACATCACAATAAAACATATTTACTTACCCCTAAACAGAATGTTTTTTAAGAGTGACACATTCATACACACATTTGCATAGGCACATGAGTATTAAAACACCCAGTTTTTGCTAACTATAATTTTAGTCCCACTATGTTATATGGGTAAAGTCTATTGTTCTTGGTAGCCCTTTCTACTGAGTGTCATTGCGGACGGTACTTAATTGGAGAATGTAAGCAATAGCTTGAGCAGGTCGGATGTAGCATACCTTTTACATTTCACCACACTGCAAACCCTGGTGGGGTGTTGGACCGAGGAGGTCTCCACACATTAAAAAAAGGCATACTTCACCTCGTATCGGTTTTTGTGGGCAGTCTGAGCCTTCTAATAAAATAATATAATACATAGATATAAAGTAATGGATATAAGAGCTATGTGTTTATGACTAATAGAAAATACCTATATTGCCTAAAGATGATGGCAGTGAACTTCAAAATTAAGAACAATTGACTTAAATAAACAACCAATTCATTATTAAATTTAAATCACATATTTTTGAACTCAACAATAATAAAAACAAGGTTCAAAGTTTATTATTTTTATATATGTGATCCACATTAAAAAGAGATTATGATATGGCTTATCACTTTGCACTCAATATTGGAAGGAACCTTATCACCAAAATGATAAGTGCCACTTAAAATGCAAGTTGGCTGTTTTGGTTTGTGTGTTATGTTTAAACATGAAATTAACTCAATTTGTACACTGCAGTGGAAATATCAAAGCAAAACAGAATATATGCAATTCAAAAGCAAAATATGAGTATGTTTTAAAAAAGATTTTTGTTTAGTTTAATTTTCTTTGCTGCAATACCATTTAGTATAAAAAAATATTTGCATTAAATATTGCCAGGTATTGCTATAGGATGTTTATCAAACCATTTTGTATAAAAAAATATTTGCATTAAATATTGCCAGGTATTGCTAAAAGATGTTTATCAAACTGAAAAATTACTGTCTGCAGGTATAATCTGAAGAAGAAAATGAAGATAATGTGTTTATTGAAAGCTAAAGTAGGTACCTATGCAAATACAGCACATCAACACAGACATGACTGTGTTACTGTCTATATTATGTTTGTATACATGTAGCTCCATAATGTTAAATAATATTATTAAATTAGGTTGTCAATATAATCTGACAGTTGATTGATTAATTTAAAATAAAATCTGAAAAAAGTGCAATATTTTTCATAGTCTGAGTCATGTGATTGATAACCTTGTAGAGTATTATTGGGATGAGTCTAGTAATATCAATGATTAACAACACTATGCTAAACTTGTGATTTTATTTGTATGATGTGATAATTTAATGCGGCGACACATTATCTCAAGATAGTCCTTTGCCTCCCTATTTCTGTAGTGACTTCTTGGAATAAATAAAAACTGTACCATCAAACAAGCACACAGCCTACCTTATTGTAGGTATGGGTTGTTTAGATTAGATTTGAGTTACCCACTTTTTCCATACAGTATTTAGTAATTCTCCTTATGTGCAAGTCTTGTGGACTAGACTACTTAAGTGAGAATCTATTTGGACAGAAATCTGGTGTGTCTCGATTTTGTGTTTTAATGTGCCTGATTTTGAAGTCTACTGCATATAAAAAATAAGCTTTATAAAATCAATTAATTCATAGAAAATGTGATTATTAGCTAAAATTCTGTATTTCCTTATGAGCGCTTGCTGTAGTCACTGTTTTTTTCCACAATTACGATAGATTAAGAGAATAGATTAAGATTAATTTTATGACTTTAAATACCTGGCAAAACTTTGATAGGTATTTGAAGTCATAAAAAGAATTACTACTAATTATTTTTACTTTAACATGCATATTTGTCACCACTAAAAGAATTGATGTTGAACGTAACCTTGTACAGATCTACCACAAAATGTCAAACAACATTAAACAACAAGGTCCACATGTAGAATGGATCCTATTGGTGTTACAAATTCAGTATGTAGGATCAAGTTATGCACATAATTTCACAATATTAATAAAGTTTTAAAATGCATTTTCTAGGACAATTTCCTACCACCCTCACAACGCAACAACTACGATTGCGAGAAGGACCCCACGGGGCCCCTCAACCGCAAGAAGCTGATTGAACACATTAATAAACAAGCTTTAGAGACCCCTGACCGACCGGAAGTGAAGCCCTTTGTCGCTGGAGTCATACGCGGGAAGAAGGTAAGCCGATCGTTGCCTAATCTTAATCCAAGGATAGATTACTGACATCAAATGTTAAGTAGGTGCCTAATAATTGGATTATACTTGGAATAGATAAATACAAAGCCAAGTTTAGTTTCATATTTATAATTTCAAAGTAAAATTAGACTGCTTTTTTTATTTCTACAAATTTGGTAGTTTTAGCGTATAAAATCATCAAAGCAAATAATATTTTTTGCTTTTATTATTTTGGTATTTATGTATATAACGGAAACTTTGAACGCGATTTTGACCCACTTCAAAACGTTGAATTAAATTGAAACTTTGCACGCTTGTTAAGGACTGATGACAATACAATAATTAAAAACATCATTAATGTTTAAAAAACAAAAAGAATAACACGCTTTTGTAGCTAGCCAAATTAAAAAGTAGGAAATAATTTTCTATAAGTATCTATTTAGTTCGGCTAGCTACAAAAGCGTGATTTTATAGTTTTTATAAACTGTATGTTATAAACTGTGTGTATTCATTTGAACATATGCATATACTTCACATCAACAGCCTTAACAGTCCACTGCTGGACATAAGCCTCTCCTTAGAAAGGAGGTTTTGGCCTACTATACCACGCTGGCTAGACGGGTTGGTATAGGGTTTGTGTCAAGTTTTCCTTCTCTCTGCGGTGCTGTTGTTCTGCGTAGTTTTTTTCCTTAGTCGGCTTTTACGACACCCACGGGATGAATAGGGGTGGTGACACTCTGTATTCTTAATCCGTCACCACGCATATACTTACGAGTATACAAATCCTCAGAATAATCCTGTTAATATTAGTAGTGTGAATATTAGATTAAAAGCCTACCAACGGTTTAGACGCAGAATGTCCAGCGGTCGCAGAATGTACGGACATTATGCGAACTGGTCATTTTGCGACCGCTGGATATTTTGCATCTAAGCGTTACCAAGGGCTGCCAGTAATGGTAATTTGCAAATCTTATAATACCAATAATTATTATCGCCGACGCTCGGTATCAGCAACTTGAGGGCCTAGTGTGAGTTTATTTCACAATAACTCGCTCTCGACCTGTGTTGCGATTGGTGAAGATTTCAGTGCAGGCCCACTCGCAATGCCCTATCCTGGTTACCCTGACAATCGAATTGATGTGAAATAAACTCAGACTGGCGTCCCGTTGTGTATACTGTTATAATGAAGTGTGAAATGGTTTGATCGCAGTATACTTACATGGCGTTATTCGTAAATCTCACTTTGAAACCCCATCTAAAGTTCAGCCAGTTTTAATGAAAACCTGTTGAGACGTGAAATCCGCCTAAAGTCACTTAAATCCACATTTGCTTGTCATATCGCTTATTGGTTTCTCTAGTTGTTTCAATAATATGTGTTGACGTCACATCGCATATTTCGAGTTAATTATAATATCGAGCGAAGCAATTATGAGAAAGTGAAGTATTTTACTTTGACTGTTTAAAACAAATAGTGTGACTTCCTATATATAAATGTTTAATTATTATTTTCTGGTTTTCAGTGGATTCCGCCTCCTCCCACCGAAAAAGTCCGTGATGCTGAGGAACAAATCACAATCGATCTCGGAGATGAGTATGAACAGGCTCTCACCACGGCTTCTCAAGAAGAAATCATCGACTTGGCTGGTATGTCATCACTCTTGTATTCTTGTGAATGTGTGATGCAAAATGCAAGACTTTTTTGATTTTATAGCAAAGTACAAGCTATTGAAAGGCATCTGAACTCATCCTTCCTACGCCAACAAAGGAAGCGTAGATAGAGTAACTTAAATTTTAAGAGCTTTTCTGTTTTAAGTATTGTAAATTTAAAGTTAATAGACTTCAACAGTACAATTCACAGTACAACAGTAGGCTCAAGTGTAATATGCTACGAGTCGCTATTGGGAAGCGGTAATCATAAGACTTAGATATACTTATATATATCTAAGCCTTAATGTGTATTACTACTAGAAATAATAGACTCATACTCAAATGTGGATAACACTTTGTCTTCTTAGTGTCATGCTTCAGAGAGGTTACTTAAAATAAACGCTCTAGAAGATTCTTTAGATATAGTCGCAGTATTAATTCACTTGCGAGGTAAAAGGCTACTTTAATGGTGTAGCGCAAAAACCGTTTTGTGACCCAATCATAATCTACTCTAGATTGTGATTGGGTCACAAAACGTTATTATGCAAAAAAGAATCGATTTTTTATACCTCCCCATTGGCCCACATTCTAATAAACTACAAATCTAAATATTTCTAGAACTAACACAGATTATTTTAAAGCGTGTCACATATATGCAAGAACCCTATTATTTATGATAGTTTGCGTAAATCAGGAAGATAAAATGTTCTTTTGTAATGGAATAATCACATCGCAGAATGTTGGCGCACAGCCAGTCGCCAATACTTAGCGACCATTGCCACTTCGTCATTCGAAAATACTATAAAACAATCCATCGTATTCATAGTGCGCTCAACAACGAAAATTATTGGACACATCCAAATGTAGTAGGTAGGCTATGCTATAACGTAAACACACGTGTTCTCATCAGTCATATCACCAATTGGCATCGTGCTGTGAGTTCGAGCCACACATAAGCTTTTTGCGCAATTCGCTAAGCACACATTCTATAAGCTCTAAGTACTTCGATGGGATACGTAAGCTGGACCCAATTTAGTGAACAGTGATCTTCGCCCGGTTCATAACAATATGATTCTGTAAATGATCTAGATATTTTATTTTTATCAAAGCTTCAGCTGGCCTGGTCATGCCATAAATGGTCATATAAGAAATCTTTATGCCCGATGCTCAAGATATCACAGAGAGCTTTTAGTATTAACGCGTCTATCTCTTTATGCTCTATATTGTGACACACAGGCTATCAACAGTGTAAATAATGAGGCTTGTATTATGAAAGCTTGGCACTCGAGATATGCTTGATATGACGTCTAGCCAATAACGCATGATATCGTTATAACTACGTGAGATAGTTGACAGATTAGCGGTATTAAAAAGATAGACTAAATTATTAACACAGTATTTTTTATTTGGGGTTTTCTACATACACACATATGGAAATCACCTGTCTGACTCTAACCGAACAACCGACGACCACATATAACATGCGGTGTAAATACATAAGTGGAGCCAAAACAGTGTACTGTAAACTATTTTGGTTCTACATCCTTCGAACTCTGTTTGTCTATTTTTATTGTTTCAAGATAATATTTGCAGTAATAAGTGCAGTCAAAATGAACATGAGTATTTGTTAACTGAAAGTTAAATATTAATATTAAATAAACACATAAATATGTTTTATTTAATATATATTAATCAATTGGACCCCACCCCACCACCACAATTCTTCCTTGGGTGTCGTAAGAGCCGACTAATAGAGCTAACTAAGCAGGACAATAGCACTGCAAAGAGAAGGAAAACTTGAAACAAACCCTATACCAACCCGTCTGGCCAGCGTGGTATAGTGGGTTTGTTATTAAGAATAAAAAAAATTGCACTTGATCTTCTCATATTTTAACTTTTTGCATGCTATTGTCATTGACTAAGGGAGCAAACTACGCAGGACAACAGCACTGCAAAGAAAAGGAAAACTTGAAACAAACCCTATACCAACCTGTCTGGCCAGCGTGGTATAGTAGGCCAAAACCTCCTGTCTAAGGCTCTCCTGTTACTAACTGTTATAGGCTATGGTTGATGATGATGCATGCCATTGTCACACATGTGGCAATGGCATTGAAAATGTTGACGATGCTACAAAATGTAAAGGATACTTTTGTTCACAAAGATGTGTATAATTCCAGCTATCCTTGGCTTTCACTCGATGATGAACCAGGACCAGTACCACGCGTCGTTGCTGAACAAAGGCCAGCCCGTCGGTCTCGGATGGGATGGCATCACTAAAGCTACTAAATCTAAGGTAGATTTTACACTCTTTTTCATTTCTTACAATGTAAGGTGGAGTTTATCATCGGTCTTTTCTACGTTGTTTGATGTTAATAACGGTTAAATTATAAAAATGGTGTTTATATTAATAATACTCTATTTCTCCTCACAATGGTATACTTATACCTAGTTACATTCACACAGTCTAGTCTAGTTTTCATATGTGAGGAGCTGGTGTCTGTGATAGGCATGAAATGCCTGTGTTACAAATCACCAGGTCCTTATCCCACGTGCATACAGCCACATTGTTGACTGGTATATTATAACAGACTAGTTTATAAGTACTCATAAAAGGGGTAAGTGATGGAAAAGTACATTAATAGTACACAGAATAAGCAATTAAAAAGTTAACAAAAATATAAAATCAATTTGGTATTATATTTTTACTTCTAGAAAAAATAAAAACACAGCGCCAAGTTTGTGTCGTTTTATTTCGGTTCATGTATTGTTACACAATGTTTGAGCATGGAATGCAATACATAAAGTTGTCGCACTGTCAAAACTTCTCATTTTTTGTAGAGGTCAACCGTTGCGTGGTAAAAAGGTAGGAACAAGCTTAGTTTCAGAAGGGCTCTTTGAGCTCTCTCAATTTTAAGGAAGCTAGTTTTACATGCGCCAACTCAAGAGGTGATGCAGTTCGTAAGCTGAGATTGACAGAGGGCATAGTACACAGATTTAATAACAGCTTTTGTGGCAGCAACAAGAAGATTGATATGCTCATTAAATTTTAGATTTCTGTCAATGATTACTCCTAAATATTTGGTTGATGGAGATTTTTAAGGTCAGGGCATGAGCAGTGTGTGTAATTGACGTTAAGTCATGAATGTGATAATATACGAAGCGAGGGATCAGGTGTGTCATTTGATTTGGATGAAAACGTTATATAAGTAACTTTGCGACATTGTACACATGTGTGACATGTAGGCATATTTTTATTTAACCATTTTGTAACAGTATTGAATCTTCTCTGGGCATTTATAAATACTTCGTTTCATGAATTGCCACAATAGAGTAAAACAGTATCATCTGCAAACGTGATGATCTTTGAATTTGGAAGTTCAATCTCGCAGAGATCGTTAATGAATACTAGGAACAAGGTCGGACCAAGGATACTGCCCTGAGGCACCAAAGGTGACGGGAATCTCTTCGCTGGTTGTATTACCGATTTTTACACATTGTGTTCTATCAGTCAGGTAATCTTGTAAGAGTTTCCGTTTTTTTAGCAGGATAGGGACAGAAATAATATTATATAATATATTCATTAATTATTGGATCTGCATGTGTGGAAACGGAAAACCCTTTGATAGCATTGAAATAACTTCATAATAAGCAGTAGAAGCTGAGATGTGCTAAATAATTTCAATAAAAATAATTAAACTATAGTCGATTCGTGTTTAGAAAATTGTGACGCATCGATCAATATGCGATATTTTCTTAATGCAAAAGACTTATAAGTAAATTTCATAGTAAAAGAAAATATGGTGAGACTGCACGGATGGCGTACTGGTTTAAGCGGTCGCCACGCTACTTACTACTACCCTGAGTGTTGTGGGTCCGATCCCCACATGGGACGACACTTTGTGTGATTCACAAATTGTTGTTCTGAGTCTGAGTGATATTTGTACCCTTTTCATGTATGTTTGTATGCTTGTTGTTGTTGTCTTTTATAACACGAAAAAAAAGATGAAATATGAAATCTCATGCCTTGTCAACAATTTGTTGATTGATGGCTAGTGATTTGTGCAAACGAAGTATCGCTATATTTGAGAGCTCACTCGAAAGATATGTTTCTTAAATCATGAACAGTTCTTACTCAGTCGTTAATACATGTTATGATACATTACAGGTGTACCCAATGGACCCGCCTAACGACACAGACCCAGACGACACCATCACGCGAGTAAAGAACAATGACCAGAAGTTGACTGATCTCAATTGGAATAATATTAAGGTATTTTTAGTAGTTGTAGTAGGCTGTCTATGTGATGTTCTGGGTAATGTAAATTTTTATTTAATAAATATATAAATCTTCATCACTTTTCAAATGAAAATGAATTTTAGAATCTGATTGACCTGCATTATGGCCCTCATTCACTTCATCACATCACATCAACAGCCTTTAATAGTCCACTGCTGAAAATAGGCATCTTCTTAGAGAGGAGGTTTTGGCCTACTACCTACCATACCACGTTGGCCAGACGGGTTGGTATAGGGTTTGTGTCAAGTTTTCCTTCTCTCCGCAGTACTGTTGCCCTGCTTAGTTTGCTCCCTTAGTCGCCTCTTACGACACCCACGGGATGAATAGGGGTGGTGACACTCTGTATTTTATATCCGTCACACACGGACACTTGTAATCCGACTACTATTAAACAAAAATTTTGTAGACAAACAAATCATTCATCAAACCGAAAAATCCAACAAAACAAATGTGATAAAATATTATTATAAACCGTATTGCCGTCCACTGCTGAACGAAGGCCTTCTCCAAGGAGCGCCCACCATCCCGGTCTGTCCTTTATGGTATAGGGGGGCAAACGAGTAGACTTGTCACCCTTTGAGTCCCACCCCCCAGAATCAGGGCTCACTTAAACAAATCTTAGTGCAACGTACTTTTTGATATTCTGTTTGTAATATTCAAGAATAGGTTTCATAGGTTGAAATTAATCTTTTTCTTTATAAGGAAACAAGGAATCCTGAACAGGTATTTGGTTGCAGAACATCAGCGACGAGAAGTTCGAGCGGCTATTCGAAGCGGTGAAGAGTAACACGTCGCTAGAGGTGCTGTCGCTGGTGAACGTGGGGCTCAACGACCGCACGGCGGCACTGCTGGCCGACGCGCTGCGCGTCAACTCGGCGCTGAGGGTCGTCAACGTGGAGACCAACTTCATCAGCCCCGCCGGCGTGCTCGCGCTCCTCCGCGCGCTGCTCGACACGCGCACAGTCGAGGAGTTCCGCGCCTCCAACCAGGTGCGCCACTCGCTTACTCACAGGGGCAGGCGGGCTGTGGCTTGGTGACGTGTCGCCACGGCATATGTCGCCACGCGCAAGAGACTTCCTACAAATAATATCCGACGTTTCACGTCTACTAGACGTCTCGCGACGGCTCTTTTTTTCCATTTTGTCAAATATGACTGAACCGTAACTCTATTAAGACATTATAATGTAGACTACTTAACCAATTATCTTACTTCCAATATTTGTCTTGCTAGCGATCGCAAGTCCTTGGCAACAAGATCGAAATGGAGATCACGTCGCTGGTGGAACAGAATCCGACGCTGTTGCGGCTCGGTATGCACCTCGAGTACAGCGACGCCCGCCACAGGATCGCCAGCCACCTGCAGAGGAACATCGACAGAAGTAAGTGCACACACTCTACCCACTACACACGTGGTTTATAGAATTTTTGGCAACTAGGGTCCTCCAATTTTCTTCTGATTAATTTCGTTGCGGGTTCCAAGACAGTTTAATTTTTTTTCCTGGAACTTCCCGAGTGTCATAACTCGGTGTGTTCGTGGGTCACTGATGTTGATCTTGGTGTACAGGAGTTACAGTGGTGGGCGTGTGGGAGGGATTATGTGTCCCATGGATTAGTCCCACTAGGGTCGCCGTGAAATACAAAAATAGGTCACCATCTACGGGAAAAATAACAAACAAAAAAAGAATATAAATTATGTATCACTTTTCATCATGTTACATATTAAATAAGAAAATTCTATTTATAAAAAATAATTATAGTAGCAGATACGACATCATAATAATGTGGAATTAAAGTGGAATAAATGAATGACTTGTCTTGACAGTCTTCTACTGTATTACATGCATAATTAGAAAAGAGTCGATGATCTTAGAACAGCTGAACAGATTTTCTTGAATTATAAGCCAAGAACACTTGATCGAGTCACTTTCCAAATAATAATATAAAAACTTATCAAAATTGGCCCATCTCTATTTACAGATACATCCATTAAACTTATAACAAGTTTCTTTAATGCGTTGGTGTTTTTTTCTGTCTTATGTAAAAGTTCCATCTTATAAATGAAAGCTGAAGAATATGACGGTTCTAAACGTTTGTTTGACATCACTTGTTTAGGGTTTGAAGGGACAACCACTGATTCTATAAAATAAAAAAAGAAATTAAAATTTTCTATTTTATAGTCATCGAGTACCATCTTCTGTTCATAATATGCTTATATCGAAATCAATTTGACAAATATTTCAATATTGTTGCATTCGGTCTCAGTGATCCGATTTTGCTAATCGTTTCGACACAATACGTAGTTAATGCTTATTCTTTATGTTCTAGGACTTTAGTTTAAATGATATTAAAAAAAAACAAAATGTATGTTGCCAATCTTCTTTACACCACAACTCAATATTGATTGTAAAAACATTATCGGTTAAACAATTTATGATACACAACATCTTATATATTATTATTTATATTGCTAGTATGTATTGTATAACAGTTTTTTTACAGGTTATACACAGATTACATTTTTAGTATTTGTGCACATGCATATTTCAATAAAAGTAAAAAATATTATCTTATTGTATTCGAACATCTATGCATCACATGGCAATTTCATTCATAATGTTATATTTAAGGGCGTAAAACAGAATGGAGCATATGAATTTATATCATATTGTAATGAAATACATCACATTTTACATTGTACTCTTTTAGCAAGTAAGACGATTTATAAGCGATTCCAAATACTAGATTATAAATATCCTTTGCTTTATTTAATCTAATAATAGAGATAGCAAAATTCTTATATATAGATGGAAGATGAAATAGACTACGTTAGTGGTGACTTACATTAAAAGTAAACCGGAGATTCTTATTTGTGGGTGGTAACACTGTGATTTTTAAATAACTAGTAACTACTAAAGTGTTAAAAAATCGAGTCTAGTATCTGAAGTCGTTGTCGTATATGTGATAGATACTGCACCTAATAGCACTCATTACGACACAGATGGTGGACACCGCTTCGCCTCCCGACGTCGCTCGCGCGCTCTATAGTAAACATTCATATGAAATTATATCCCGGATAATGATCCCGGAACTAGTATTGTGGTGTCTTTATTACGAAAGCGTACTTTCAATTTTTTCACGTGTCTAATTAAATAGTTTTAAAAACTGATTCCTAAAGGAGACAGGCATCGAAATAAAATTAAATCAAGTAGGAACACGCCAATAAATCACGTATTGTAGTAAATACACCACAATGTCTAACACCGTTCCACATATGCACTTATGACGCATTTTGACTGTAGAACATCCTAGCTTATATTAACCATCAAGACAGCCACCAAAGTACACGAAATCATCGAAGAAGACACCCTACACAGAATGTTTGTGTCTAATGTGAGTCAGCATTACAATAATACTTACGGCAAAATTATAATATACTTTCATGAATAATATTAAAAAAAATATACACCTTCCGCACTAGGAATATATATATCCGGTGTCGAGGGTTTACAAACTTTGATAGTGCTTCAGCAATATTGTGTAGTTAAAAACTATTGTATCTAAATACACACGTTTTTTTTTGCTTAATGAGCAGATGGAAATTTCTTCGAAAAAAAGAAGTATATTTGTAATAAGTTTATGGCAAAGTAAGAATATTGTTTAAAATTCATGGATTTTTAATTAATCAATATTAATATAAAAGTAATAATTTTAATCGTTCGAAAAGATATTTTGCCATTTATTGAAAAGAGAGCAAGACTACACTTCAAATATCAATTTCCAAATAATCATGCATCAAATAAAAGTTTACAATCATATGACTCATGCCTATCCATTGGGCAACTGAATAACCATTAGACACGAGCCATAATCGATATATGAAATCGATGTTCATGATCAGATTGCCGAGTTCAAAAGCGAGCTAGCGCGTCACTGAGCTTGCGCCTGCCGCGAGGCCGCCCGCCCGCCGTCGGCATCGATAATAGCTTCTTCAATCTCACTCCACCAAGCGTAGAAGCTGTCACTCCTACAAACGAAGAAATTAAACCAGTAATCTCTGAATCGGTTGAAACATCGGTCATAGTTGAAGCCAAAGAAAAAAAAGATGAAACTACAGTCAATACACAAATAGTGCAAACACCAGAAACTGAAAAATCAGTTATAGAAAATGGAACACAAAAATTAATGTCAAATGAGACGGAAATACTGGCACAAACTGAAGTAGAGAAACCGGTGTCTTTCAATATACAAAAACCTGAGTCTTCAGAAACACAAAAAAATGAGTTGTCGCGTACAGAAAATCTGTTATCTACTGATACAGAAAAACCGATTAATACACAAGAATCAGTAACTGAAGACGGTCTATCTGGTGAAAGACTAATCCCCGTTAATATAGAAGAGGAACATACAGAGACAGATTCAGACATTGAACAATTAAGAAATAAGCAGGGAGCGGAGAGATTCGTGAAGGCGGCACCACTGGACATTAATCCCAACCCGCACTCGTGAGTAACCGCGTATTGCCACTCACACAACCACGCGTTCCCCCAACCGTATTTGTAGAGATAGTTACACCAGTAAATGTGAATTCGAATAATATAAACAAATTTTCAACTTTTTTAAAATTGTAAATGCTTTTGTGCAGAACGAGGGAACATTACTAATTCCGCTATATATGAGATAACCGGTGTAGAGGTCTAGGAACGACTGTTTTTTGTGACAAACGTACCGAATTTCATGTATCGGATAAAATGTTTTTTTCAGTACTGTACAACTGAGAGGTATTTTTTATTCATTATTTAATATTTGACTGTCAATTTTCTCTGAAATGGGTATTTTTTCTTTTTGTGGATTAATTATTTTTCTTAACAAAATACTTTTTCGGGTATTTTTCACTGTTATTATTTTGTTATGTTTAACTGAGAACATATTGTTCTAATTCACATAGTAGGAAACCAACACTTCACATGTGTGTACACTAGTTGAGAGTTAATGTTTGTCATTACAGTACGGAAAGACCTTACGCTGCGGCTTCAATTCAGATTCTTTAACAACCTGCCGAAGGGGGCGCGTAGCCAATAGTACGGAGGTCAGGCCCAGCAGTGCATTGTTAGCACGCCAGTATAACAAACTACGCTTATGTTACAGCTTCTTTAAAATACCGGCTGAGAGTGTTCACTTACACATACCACAAAAGTGCAGTTTTATTTTGTTGGATTTATTTCTAGAAAAAAAACCATCATATACTCAGTAAAATATTTTCGGGATACTCGTGTGTATTGCGGAATAATCTTAAAAATCATAGATATTCTATTGTAAACTGAATATCTTTTTTCAAAGTCACAAGAATAATTTGAAACAAAACACAGCATAATTGAATAATTTTTAAATGTATCCGGTATTTAAGACTGCACATATGTCTATTTAGTTGAATATGGCACTAGTAACGTCGCTAGGCGATATTAATGCCATATCTCTTATAGTTTAAACTATTTTCTATTATTTAACTTTAAAGAGATCTACATAAGTTTATCTTAAAAATTCATTTAATTAAATCTATGATTTAAATGAAACTAATATATTGTGATGTGTTTTATTCTATCTACATATTATTAAAATTAACAATTTAATTTCTAGCAGAGAGGGGAACGTAGAACAGTCAGATATTATAAACAAAATGGCCGCATAAAATCGGTAAAATCTCATCTGTTTTCGCGCAAAATGGTGCCCTGCTATTTTTTTCGGGTATTAACGGTTTTTCACAGCGCAAAGGCTTCAGCTAATATTGAATTTTTTCGCTTAGAGACCCTTCGACGTGCTGTGGATCCCAATTGTGACAGGATAGTCATAAAAGTTTTTCGGCATCTATTAACTAGAAACCATAAAATAAAAGTGAAAGATAAATGTTTTCCAGAACTAAAACGACACGCATGATTGTGAATACTAACTTGTATGCGGAATGATTTTGATACTAAAGTTATGAACAAATCAAAAAGGCATGGACTATAACTCCAATTGTATTTGTTTTCTGATATACTGTTTGAAATATGTACATTTTTTCCTTGTAATTTCTAAAAGACCCTATGAAATCCCCGATGTTCGCTGTATCTTTTTTTCTGAAGTAGGTCTCTTTTACCAATTAAAATTAAAAAAGAAATTTTGACAGTTTTTTTTTCAAATGCAAACTCTTAAACATATTACACTACAATAAATATATATTTTTCTTTAATAAAATAATATAACCAGACTTTTCGCATACAAAACAATAGAAAAGTTTGAATTAATATTTTTACTTAATAGTAATACCCGTAGGTTTTTTTTACTTCATAGACTGTTAATTTTATTTTTTGAATTCCGATACTTGACCCTCGATTGGCGAACATCGGTGATAGGATATTGTATGTGTATATAAATGTGTGACACGAGTCGGTATGTATGCATTGCAGTACGCCAGCAGCGCCGGAGCCAAAACAACGCTTAGAGCCTTGAACTGTCGCACGTGGTAAGTTTACCTGATATACCTACTCTTTGAAAATGAAACAAAATTATATATAAATATGAATATTGCTTTATAGTATCAAATAATAGTTTTTGCATAACAGAAGTATTCTTAAGTGTTTTCAAAAAAGATTCTTTATGAAAGTTATCATTTCAGTTTCCTTTATTTTCAATTTTATTACTCATATAATTATCATGTAAATCTAAATATAAAGACATATCAGGTTTTTATTGGGCATGTTGCTAATAACCTAAGTTGGATTGGAACAAACATCATTCGAAGATGAATGATGAAGGAGGAGGTATCTTTAATGTTGTAAAAAATATATTTTATTTTCAACGCATGTTTGCATTTATCCATATATATGTTATCCATACTTTGCATTATCTCACCCTTATTCCCTACTAATCGTAATTAGTTAGGATAATAATTAGTACAATTTATCAAAAAATTAGTAAAATATAGAAAAATACTAGGCTTTATAATAAGGCCTGTACTTTTAATCTGTAATAAAACAAAAATATTTTATATTAATATACAAATTAAAGAAATCTGAATAAAGTTAAAACATCACTTTCTATCTTCACACATGTTTAACCTGTATTTATAAACTAATCTTTGTCAATATTTTTTTACAAGCAACTATTTTAGATAAACCATTTCGAAACATTTTCGAACATCATCATGATATATTGAATTGATTAACCCTTCTGTTTAATTTAAATATATTGGTTTCATACTTTGGGGTCCTATAAAGGCTCGCTGGTAGCAGTGTGGGCAGTACAACGCCCGAATCAGTTCTATTACTGATTGCTACATCAATATGACATAATTCAACAAACTAATTCTATTACTTACTCTAATAACACATAATTTCATTGATTTTATTTGTATACTTCATTAACTCACGCGCATATATAAATTATAATAGACGTGGACGCGGTAACTACAAATTTATTCAGACAGCAAATAAAAGTTTTTAAACTAACAATAACAGTGATTTTGTGTTTCAGATATGTAAGAAAGTGTAAATTAGAAAGGTTTGGGCAAAGTCCATTAAAATGATTACATTGAAATGTATTTATATAACGTATATTAATTATAAATATATATTATTGAGTAATGTATAGTTCATCAGTTCCTATTTACAAACAAAAATAAACTGATTGATTTGATTCTAAAATTATAAACTAAGAGTATTTAGCGAATCAGCGAGTCTGCGAATACTTGTTAGTGTTAATTAACAATGAAAAATATTACAAAAGTCCAGATGGTTATCGCACTATATACAGAGTGTGCAAATAGTTAATGTACACATGATATAGTTGTATTGATGTATAGTTATAATATTGGTAATAACCAACATTTTGTTCTGAAAAGTATTAGTTTCTAGTTTTTTAGATTTCAATATTTAATCTGTACTTTTCTTCTTTCTTAACTTTTCTGCTTTGCTTAAAGTTGGCGACAGTTGGTGAGTGAAGTTTAACCGGTTTAGCTGTGATAATCTGCGCTCAATATAAACATGGCCAATTAAAGCGCTCTTCGTGTATTACCTATTCATAAACTGTAATTAAAGTAACATATATTCTCCGTCAGGCGGCCGCATTCGCCGACTGAGCCAGTTCACCCGCAGTCGCAGCTACGTGGTGGGCTGGATCCCGTGAGCGCCACCCGGCACCTTCACATCTTGCGAGCCTCTATATACGTCGTGATTGAGTATTTTTGTTATCCTCATTACCTTTACTCTTATCATTACCTATACTTCAACAAAAAAAAAAAAAAAAACATTGCTGTCTGACTCTTCCAGAGTTTCTTCTAAATTTTGTTTATTTAAATAATTTTTTGTTCTAAGTTATTAGACAATAAATGCTCTTGCCTCGCTGCGAGTTTCGCGCTTTGGCTCCTGTCTGCATGTAGCGTTTTGTAATCGTGCTTTATATGCATAGCAATGTTATGATATTATCGTTAGAGTCTCTAATGTAATCATGGTGCAAATATTCAATATGTAGGTTAAAAGGTTAATAATATTGATGCTATTATATAGTTTGATAAAAATGCACAATCACAACGCCCTAGTACGGACAGAAAAAATACTGTACACTTGAAGACGAATGTTATGACAGCAAGAATTGGTATTTATCAGTGTCGTCACCGGTATTAAAACCGGAAATAAAATATTGACTAACAACACTACACGGTGGCAGGTCCACCTCTAAAATATATTTTTGATAAAATCCCAATTCTTGTGTAATGTGTGAATGACAACGGTTTAACTATTAATTCTTAATATAGTGTGCTAATTAATTGGTATTAATTTTATTATGATATTTAATTGTAATATAATATATTATAGTTGTGCACATTCCATTAATGCGAAACATGCTTCTCATATATTTGACGATTTATGTCTAAAAAAGTAATATTATAATTGATTAAAATTTTCATTAATATTTAAAATGTTTAGTAAAGCTTTAAAAAAGCAGTGACCGCTAACCAATTTATTTTGTAGTTTGCGTACAATATAAATCCGACTGTAAAAGTTAGCTTTTACCTACCTCGCGAGTTACTACGATGTAAAACTATCGGGATAGAAGTATTGTTAATGTGTAACTTGATACTAGACTATTAATATCATTTTCTGACTAACAAAGTAATTAAGACACATTAAAATAATTTGAATGACTTGAAAACCAGTTGATAAATGTAAGTGTTTAGAGAAGCCATGTTCTGCGTCAATGGAGGGTAATTTTAAATATTTCAATAAAGCACTAGGTTTTTTTATGTCTAGAATTTTGATATTACGCCTTTTATGGACTTGAATGAATTTTTGTCGATGATTGTAGCGACACATTAGCAATGTACTGAGGCTTTTGATATTAAAGAATAGCTTTTATACTTTAACCTTTTGCTTTCTTGAGACAAAATATGCTTAAAAATGTAACTTTATGTATATTTAGTGAATCTACTGGGGAACTACGTGTCCATAACATTGTGATACAGACATCATATT